GTCACACCGGGGTACAGTGTCCTGCGTCACACCGGGGTACAGTGTCCTGCGTCACACCGGGGTACAGTGTCCTGCGTCACACCGGGGTACAGTGTCCTGCGTCACACCGGGGTACCGTGTCCTGCGTCACACCGGGGTACAGTGTCCTGTGTCACACCGGGGTACAGGAGGGCAGCGTGGTGGCATATTTGGTAGAGCTGCTGCCTCTCAGTGAGAAGGTCGCCTGATCAATACCAGCCTTTTTGGGTGGAGTTTGTATGTTCTCAGTGTTGCTTGTGTTTTCTCCAGGTACTCCGGTTTCCTCTCACAGTTAGACTGATTGGTAACTATAAATTGTCCCTAGGTGAGAGAGTGAGAGAGAATGGTTGTCTTGTTTGTCTCTACGTGTCCCTTTTGATGGACTGGAGACCTGTCCAGGGTGTTTCCCACCTTTTCCACAGTGATGGCTGGACATGGGCACCAGTGACCCCCACGACCCAAAAAGAAAGAAGCGGGTAAAGATAATGGATGAATACATACAGGATTTAAAAAAACCTATTTATAATCAATTGGGTCAGTTCTTCCCTGAAGAACCACTAGGGGGCAGTAAAGTGACGGAAGTTTCTGGAGCGTCTAATTCTGACAAAGTTAAAAATCTTTTAGACTTTTTTTAAGATTTGTCAACTTTTAAAAATGGTAAAAACAGAATTTACATGAAAGATTTGTAATTGGACGTAAATAAGCATCTTTAAAAAAGTAGCTAAAAAAAATTAATAAGTAGCTAATAAGTAGCTAAAACAATAAGTAGCTAAAAAAAATTGCCAACAAAAGTAGCTAAAAAATAAATAAATTAGTAGCTCAAAATAAAGGTTGAATGAATGAATGAAAAATTAATAAGTAGCTAAAAATAAATATATAATTGGCTAAAAATGAGTTAAAGAATAAATAAGTAGCTCAAAAATAAATGAGTAGTTAAAAAATTAAGTAGCTAAAAATGTAGCTAAAATATATATATACATATATATATATATATATATTTTAAAGTAGTTAAAAAATAACTTGAACGTTTGTATGTGGAAAAGTTTGGAATCTAATTTAGAGAATGCAGGAAGTCTGAACCCGATCCTTTGCGTTCTGGACTCATTCGGGTTGGGAGTTGTTGCTGTTTGTGCCGCAGGTGGTTTAAGATCTGGACCGGTTCTGTGTGTCGTTCGGCAGGTCTACGAGGACTGGGACATCTTCAAGCTGAACGACGCGCTGGAGGTCTACGGGATCCTGTCTGTCAGCCCGGCTCTCAGCGCGCTGGCTGACGAGAAGTACGACGCGCTCGCGGGTGTTCCTGTGCACTTCCTGTTCCCGTTCGGCTCTCATCGACTCTCCTCTGCAGGGACGCCCTCCTGGACCCGTCGGAGTGCATGGAGACCGCAGAGGAGCAGAGGGTCCACAGCCCGCCGGCCTCTCTGGTCCCTCGCCTCCATATGGTCTACGCCAAGCCGCTGCTTCACAACAACCCCCTGCTGCCGTGCACGCCCCCGCAGGACACCAGCACCTGTAAGCAGCAGAGACCAGTCTTTGTGGACCCGTCTAAAACTCTGAGGCGTTCGCTGAGCCTCGTGTTCGAGGACGCCGCAGCTGCCGTCCTTGAACCAAAGCCTTAATAACGTCCGACAGTGTCTCCTGTACATTACAGGGCTTTATAAAGAAAGTATTATTATTATTATTATTATTATTATCACTCGTCTTGGAAGAGCGCTCGTTTCTTTTGTCGAAGGGGGGTGGGGGGTGGAGACATTGGTGACTGAGACACGTCTGTACGCTACGTCAGTTCTGTCATTTTTGGGGGGGTGGGGTGTCGGCAGGCAGGGCGCCCTGCTTGTACCGTGGTAGGAGAAACACTGACGTCCCACTAGGACAAGACCCCGGGACAGACCAGAACCCTGTGCAGGGATCATTTATCGTCTCTGTTCCTTGTGCTCCCCCAGGAGGAGCAGGAGAGGGAGGTCTGGGTTCCTCCTGGACTCGTCGCCTCGTCGACCCGGCCTCAGGTGAGCGGGAGAAGACGGAGACGACGGGTCAGTAGTTTCTGAACCGTCAGAGAAATCGACGATGTGAATAAGTTCATACGAACTGCGTGTTTGACACTACTCTCGGCTACTACCACTCATGTCTGTAAACTGAGTTTCAGCCATTTTTCTGTTTGCTAAGGTTGGTTAGTTGTGGCGGCCATCTTGATTTGGGTTGGCTGGTGTTGAAGCTCGTTTTGCGTTGCATGCACTGAGACCGACCCGGTTCTGAGCTTCAGCCTCGTTTGCGTTCAGCGGAGTGAGAGAGCATGAACAAAACACTCGTTATTTCAAAGTTTGACACGGTTCAGAGTGAACGCACCACGTTCCTGTCGTTGCCGTGGGAACGTTTTCTTAATCCTCCGTTTCCTCCTCAGTTTTCTCGTCAACGCCGAGCGAGGCGGCCGCGGTCAGGGAGGAGCTGCTCTCGTACTTCACTCGAGTCCTCCTGGGCGACGCTCTGGCAGCAGAGTTCCTCCTCCTGCAGCTCATCTCCACCGTGTACGTGGCGTTCTGATGGAAGCCCGTTGTTGAAACCGAGCGTTTTCACCACCGCGGGTTTGTTCTCTTGCAGCTACGCCAGGAGGGACGTCCTGCCGCTGGGCAAGTTCACGGTGAACCTGAGCGGCTGTCCGGCTGTGGCCTCGTACACCGAGCGCCTCTACCAGATCCTCCAGCAGCTCGTGCCTTCGGTGAGTCCACTTTAGATTTTTATTCTGGATCCGTTCCTCGGCTCGTAACTCGTTCCTGTTTTTGTTCCGTTTCTTGTCTCAAAACGTTCGGCTCGTTCAGGACGTTCCTGCTGGGACTGTTATATTTAGCTTTTATTTCTCTCTGTGCTCTGGTGAAGACAGACGTGTCTCCCTGTGCTCCGTCCCCCCAGCTTTCGTCCTGTGAACCTTAAAAAGCCTCTTTTTTCTGCATATCTCTTAATTTGAAGGATCAGCTGGTCTCTCAACAAAATGGATGAACTTCTCCTGACAGGAGTCAGGGTCAGGAGGACCCTCTTACCTCGACGGAAACAAATTGGAATCATGATAACTGGTTATTTTGCTGTTTGGCTGGTGAAATCTTGGATCGTCTGTAAATTCGTGTGGACGTGTCGAAGCTCGGCAGCACTCAGACTGAATTTGTGGAGCTGCGTCAGGGAGCTGGAGCAGCTGTTATCAGGACTGTGATCTCTCTTGCAGCACACATGAAGGTGGGAATAATCTGGAGAAGCTGTGAGCTCGACCTTCGGCGTAAATGATCAATTCGGCTGTTTTTGAGTTCCATCAGAGGAATATATACCAGCGAGACTTTAAAAAGGCAGAAACAACAATTCACGAGTTCTGCCTGACCCAAACTGTGGCCTTGATGCCGGACTTATCTCAACTCCCCCAAGGTCATGGACATGTGACAGAACCTCAACTGAGCTGAAGATGAACGTCACCTTTTATCTGGACAATGGCTGAGGGGGGGCTCTGGACTATGCTACGACTTTCCCTTAAAATTCAATGTCTTCACCGCCTGTATGTTCATGTATAACATCTGTTAAGAATAAGAAGGCCGCGCTATTTATAGCAGCAGCTTCGTGCACTCCGTCCATCTTTCGGACGACTACGTACGTGTTCTCGTATCTCGGTGCGATGACGATAAAGTTTATTCTTCTGGTTCTTTGTCGGCCATGTTTTTCTGATTGGAAATGGAACTGTCTTCACGTCCTTCAACCCTTTTCAGCTGTTTATCTGTGTCTGCTTCTTCTCATTTAAACTTTTTAGCTACTTTTTATGTATTTTTCTGCTAATCCGAGCATTTTCTTTCTATTGTTTGCTAGTCTTTGCCTTTTGCGTTCCTTTCACCGTTTCTGCTCATTTCAGATTTGTTGAAATCTATTCAGCTTTTATTTTCCTGCTTTCGGCACGTCGGCTGTTTAAATTCAGCTCGTTAACAGTTTAGCGATGAAGCCTTTTCAGCAAAGTGTTTTCACAGGAAATTACGTTTCTCTGGTTTTTTGTTTTTTAAATATTCATGAAACGTTCCGTGTTGCAGTCGTACTACCTGGCCATGAGCCTGCAGAACATGAACCGGATGCGGTTGGCGCCGAAGAAGGACTACGTGGCGAACCGACTCGTGAGCGGCACCCTGCAGCTGGACAAGAACACCACCCTGTTCCTGGACGAAACCCGGCTGGAGCAGGGACAGCTGGACGCCACGGGTGAGGCCCCAACGTGCGGCCGGAGGGCGCCGCTGCCCCGTGCTTGTGTAAAAACAGCGCCCTGAGACACAAACTTTGTGTGTGTGTGTTGCAGGTGTGTGTGACGTGACGCTGACACCTGTGTGTGT